TTCGTCCTCAGAAATAGCAGGAGATTTCGGCATGTTTTCCCCCATTTGTAAGGTTTCTACATCCCAAAAGTGACTGTTTTGCTGGAAAGCCCTTGTTATTTGCTTTGTTCTTGAGGTGGCTTAAAAAGCCTTGGTTGTTTCCAGAGTTGCCTGTTGTGTACTGATAAAAATTGACAGAGGTAATTGTTGGGTGTTTTTGGAAGAGTTTCCCAGAAACACATTGAACTGGGACAATTCATTGCAAGCCCAAAGGGAACACTGCAGAAACGCGTGGTGAGGGCAGCTGCCCCATGAGCTACCAGGCTCAGTTTCTGCAGGGAGCTCACATTGTTTGGTGCCTGGGAAAAAGGTAACAGGTTGTTCATTAAGTAATTTGTGTAATGCTTGACTGAAAAGCAGTGTACATTTTCAGGCATAAAATCACATGCAGGCGCAGGATCCCGTACAGAATCGGCACAATAGTACACTTAGTCTGCAGTTGGAGAGAGCTGCAAAGAAAATTTCCTGAACCTCTCAGCCCATCAGTCATGCTTGTTCAAATAAAGTAGTAAGTTTGTTTCTCTGCTAGTTACTGACCCCAAAGTCATGAGCAAAGGATTGTGAATAATGTGTAAAGGCTGTAACTGGTTCAGAGAACCTTTAATTGGCTAGTTAAAAAAAGCCTTATAAGGGGCTGCAGAGAATCACCCAAAATGTTCCTAATGCAGGCTGACGTTTTGATTTTCCCGAAGTTTGAAGCAAGACTTTTGGTATGATCACGGTTTGAGCTAGATAGGGTAGAGTTACTTTCTTCCAACAACTCATTCATTCCTCCAAAGAGTGCTGACACAATCAGATCTCTCATCGGGGTTTAATGCTATGTCTCATAACCCTGAAGCAGCACAAAAATCTCTATTTCCTGAACGTTTCACTGACCTATGGTGTTAAAGACTTGCCAACTAAGACAAACCATTAAATGAGCAGGGAACCACAACAGTAAAAATACTGCATGAGGCAGCCATGGCTGGTAAGACCTCAGGGTCTACATCCAAAAGTATTTTATCATCTTGAGTGGAACTACCACTACTCTGTTCAGAGCCACCGATTGAATTCCCACTGAGGAGGTTGAATTTGAGGTGCACCACACACGTGGAGCTGACACTGAGCTCTCACATGGGCCGTGTTCGCACCGGGATGTCCTGCAGAGCTCTGCATGGTGCGTGTCGCTGCTGACACAGCTCTGCACCTTGTCTCTTTAAAATGCTTCAGGAAAAATGATGCTGTCACACTACTGCAGGTTTTGCACTGTTGCAGTTTTTGCACTATTGCAGTTTTTGCACTATTGCAGTATAGCATATGCCAGAAGCTCATTGTAGTATGCCTGTCCACGGGGGTTAAAAGGAAACCAGATATTGATTACTTTGAAGTAAAGTTCATGCATTCACAACCATGGAAGTGACACATTAGACAGATGGAGCCATATCATTGGAATTTAAGCATTAAGGTCAGCAAGTGAGCTGTGGAGTGCTTATTGTCAACAGGGTTTTGGTGCCTAAGGAACAGGGATTGATGCTGCTGACAGATTTGTTAGGATCCTGTTTAGCTGCTGCAAGCATTAATATATCCAAACAGATGCATCCATCATCGTTAGAATGATAACCCCAAATACAGTTATTTCTTTAGTTGGGCTTTGTCTCACTCTTACTCTCCTCAGACTTTGGACTCAGCCTAAACATCATTTGATTTTTATGGTTGGCTTCATTAGCTTTTAGTGCGATTTCAGTGGCTGGGTTACTAAATCAAATCAACTGTGGTTGTGGTTACATATGCTTCACAGGCCTCATGAATATGGCAGATGACTTTTGCAATTATTTCTCTTTTATTTTTGCATTTTGGACTGACAAATCCTTTTGATATCTGCCTTCTATGCAAAGTTAGTGCTGTTGCATCTGCGCAGGCTGTTTAAATTTAACAGTGTAGAAACAAAGATGAAAACACTGCCTGGAGGGAAAACAGTGTCAAGTGTTCCCACTTGGTGGGCCTTGTCAGGACATCTTCGCATTGCATTGCTGAGACTATTCCTAGTGCATGTCTCTATTAGGATTTTATGTCACATCTTCTTGTTTCATATCTTCCTGTTTCCTTTTACCATCTCTTTTCCTCAGAGGGCTACAAAAATTGCTCTTTTGGAGTTGTTTTGGCATATGTGGTAAGGTTCCTTAGTACCTATTACAATGGTTTCTTTTCATAAGAGTCACCTCAAAGGGGAATCCCCCCATTAAGTATTTACTGCCTTGTCATCAGATGATGCATTTGGTATCTGCGGGATTAAACCCGCAGCCTCCCGCTTCCCCAGATGTGTTTACCATTGCAGCCATAGCAAAGCATTAGCTACATTAATAGGGGCACAGATTTAACCTGCAACAGCCCAGAGCAGTGGCCAAAGCAAATGCTTGTTATTAACTATCAGAATACTTTCCATTCATTTGCACAGCGGTCCTCTGGGATGGCAGGGCTAACAGCAGCCAGATGAGAGCTTGCTGCTCCAATTACTCCGCTTGTTCTGGCCATCTCCTCCCCGCCACCCGCCACTAATCCACATGCTAGCGTGGAGAAGACAACTGACTTGCTGGGGAGGGACTTGAAATGCTGAAAAGAGAAGAAGCCAGAGACATTTTGTGTTTCCTCCTTGCAACAAAATGCTGTGGCAAGTGCTGGAGGGAGGCGTTTGGACGTTGCGTTGCAGCGCTGATGTGTGTGTATGCATGAGAGCAAGAAACGCAGCAAGCCAAGGGAAACACAGGGGGACCCAGCAAGGTCAAAGAGAAGAAGGGGCACATTGTGGACACCCAGGGAAGCCCTCCTCCTCCTTGTGAGTGTTTAGGGGCCAGAATGTAGCTGAGGTTTCCTGGATAGGGGGTGCTAGGCAAGGCATGGTCCTGCCGGGCTCACGGGGCATGCTGGGACCCTGGGGCTGAAGCAATGGGGCACAGCAGCAGCATGAGCCCTTCCCGAGGAGATGATACCCTGAGAGCTGGACACATCTGTTAGCTCAATGTCTGTGGAGGGGAGAACAAAGAGAAAGCGACAGAAGAAATGCAAAACGCATTTAAAAATACTCTTTCATTTCCCTTTTTGCCAGAAGCAGAAGTACTTAAATAACAGAGGACAAAAGCAGCTTTTGCAGCATTTCCAAGAATCAGGAAAAATAACGAGTCCTCTGAGAAGAAGTGTTTTTATGAGACTTTGTGCTGTGCTACCAGGCCTGGGCATGCAGGAGGGGACCCTGCAATTCATCCCTCTCTAATGCAGACGCCAGCCCCATGGCTGCAGTATTACAGAGCATGATATTTTGTATATGTCATCACTACTCATTTTAAAATGAAACTTTCAGAAAGATAAGAGGCTCTTTTTTTGAAGGTACTCGGCTTGTTCCTCTGTCAGAGGAGATGTGTTTCTTATTATCATGTGCCGAAGTTTTATTTTGCACGTGTAAGAAATAAGTATGTATAGTAAGAAGGCATGTATAACAGAAGTCAAGTATCTTGCATAGCATCTGGTCTTGTTCAACATCTTCATCAATGACCAGGATGAGGGGATAGAATGCACCCTCTGCAAGTCTGCAGATGATGCAAAGCTGGAAGGAGTGGCTGACACACCAGAAGGCTGTGCTACCATTCAGTGAAACCTGGACAAACTGTAGAGCTGGGCAGAGCTCAATAAGGGCAAGTGTAGGGATCCTACACCTGCATTCATGCAGGTTAGGGGCTGTCCTGCTGGAGAGGAGCTCTTCAGAGAAGGCCCTGCACACCAGGCTGCCCGTGAGCCAGCAGTGTGATCTTGTGGCCAGGAAGGCCAATGGTTCCCTGGGGTGCATTGCACAGAGTGTGGCCAGCAGGGTGTGGGGGACTCTACTCTGCCCTGGTGAGGGCACACCCTGGAGTCCTGTGTCCAGTTCTGGACTCTCCACTTCAAGAAAGACGGGAATCTTCTAGGGAGATTCCAGTGGAGGGCTGCAAGGATGGTTAGGAGCCTGGAGTGTCTCTCTTACGAGGAAAGATTGAGAGAACTGGAACTGTTCATCCTGGAAGAGACTGAGAAGGGATCTTAGCAATGCTAATAAATATCTACAGGGTTGGAGTCAAGTGAATGGGACCAGCCTCCTTTCAAGCAGTGCCCAGCAGCAGAACAAGGGTAGGTGGGCACAAACTGAAACACGGGAAGTTCCATCTGGACATAAGAAAAATCTTGTTTACTGTGAGCTCTGGAACAGCTGTCCTAAGAGATTCTGGAGCCTTCTGTGGAGATACTCAGAAGTGATCTGGATAACTTCCTGTGCAATCTACTGGGGGGAACCTGCTTTAACAGGGAGGTTGGACTCAATAATCTTCAGAGGTCCCTTCCAACTTCTGAGATTCTGCGATTCTATAGCTGACTTCCCAGTTACATCAAGAATCTGTCCCTGATGAACTAATTCTAGAAAAAAACCTATGCTCAGAGCATCTGCCAGCTTCACAGTACAGCACCTTTAGAAGTCAGCCCTGAAGTCACTCGGTTTGCATGCTACAGTCTCTGTGCACCAGAGCTGAATTTTTACTTAGGCTTTCCTTCACCTCCTCACCCACACTGTCCCTATTACACTGGTGGGGAACTGTGTGGTTTTAGCTTAAAGCAGCAGAATGTTTGCTGCGCCCCTGACCCAGTGTGACCATTAAGGAGGTATCTGACCTGGTGCCCCTTGATTTCAGTCAAGCTGGTTGAAATCAAGTAGGCTAAAAAGCAGATGTTGCACTTGTGTGGAATATTTCATTGCTTAATTTCGACATAAACATTTAATTTTAATATGTAAGTCTTTTCCTGGCGAGAGAAGTGTTCAATGATGTATTTAAATTAAATGCTGTTCCTTTTGGTTGAAATTAAGTCCATTTTGAGAGCTTTACCCTTAATTTGTTGCTTTTTTTTTCCTCAGCTTTATGATTTAAAAACAATACAGTTAGGTTAATACTGTAATGTTCTTCTAGATGGGCAGCAGATCTGGGAAATGGAGGCAACAGTGGATAAAGATAAGAGCCAGCCTGTAAGTATGCAAAACATTGGATGTCCTCTCCTTGAGCTTCTCAGACAGCACTTGTATTCAGGGGTAGTTTCCAAAGAGTGTCTCAACAGAAAGAGCTGCTATCTGACTGCTGTGAGGCACAAATGTCAAATGCTTCAGTAGTAGATGTGCTGCAGAAAGAAACTATTCATTTAGCAGTAACCCACAGCAAATTGAATAACTGCTAGATTTTGTGTTCTTGCAGAAGACACTATTGTATCAGCACAGTTTTGAAAGAGTCCTCGGCAGGATGCTGGCTGTCCTGACTTCCTTTTGCCTGTGTGGAAGTCTTGGGTGCACTGTACTGTGCAGGACAGGATTTGCACTGCAGTATTTAAAATTAACATTGGTCTTTCAAGGGAATGAGTCTCATTGTTCACTTTGCTACTGGGACTGTACTGTAGTAGCTCAGCACTTTTAGCAGCTGGCACTTGCATTGCCATGGGCCATGCCTGCCCTTGTGGAAGAGAATGGGGCACTCACTGTTAATTTCCGTGGAATCAAGATCTGGCTGTAAGTAAGAAGCCTATAGAATAACCAAGTTTATTCTAACACAAAGAGGGAAATCTACAATACTTAATTGTTTATCAAGCACCCATTCTGTGTCTTTTATTTGTAGCTGAGAACTCTGTCCGCAAATTGAGGACAACATCAAGTACCAGAGAGGATACAGTGCATACCTACCGATTTCCTAATACCTAAAGTCTTCCTGTTTTTCGCCATCTGCTCTTTTTTCCTTTCTTCCTCACGTAATCTTCTTGATAGGGATGAATTGGAAGGTTTCTCTTCCTTGATCCCTGGGCATGGAATGGGGGGATGCACGCCACAATCTGCTGCTGGCCTCAGTTACTAATTCTACACCATCCCCTTTCGCAGAGCATGCTCTTCGTAGAAATACCGGAGTACCGGAACAAGCACATCCGCACTCCTGTGAAGGTGAATTTCTATGTCATCAATGGTAAAAGAAAAAGAAGCCAACCCCAGCATTTTACCTATCACCCAGGTAATTCTCAAGGGCAGTGCAAGTTGTTGCCTAGTTCTCACGAGCAAGATTTTATTTTCCACTATGTTGTTTCCCCAGTGTATGAGGGTCTAAATTTTACTAATTTCATTCAGCTAATTGCAAATAAGTGCTCAACAACTGTTTGGTTTGAAGGATGCATGTGATTTCAGATTGAGAATTTCCCATAATCTTAAGGGGGCAGCTACGTAGGCCACGGACTGATTCTGCCTCATTCACTTGATGGGAGTTTGCCAACAACTTCAGTGGGAGCAGACTCAGTTTGTGACATGATTTGACCCTGTGAAAACAATGAGCATTGCCTGCCCCAGCTGACGTGTACAACAGTAAGATAACATCGGATCTGGGAAAATTAAACAGGGCTTGGTAAGGAGGAAGAAGAGTAATATATAGTCTTCAGAATGGAGTTGTTGAGAAAAATATGAGTGCTTTTGTGATGTTTCAACTCTTGGGAATTGGTGAGCAATCTCACAATAAACGCAACAGGATTACTAATGAGATTCCCAGAATTTCTTAGCTTTGGCTGGGAGAAAAACGTTGTGAGAAAATCAGAGTATTGTGCTTGTGGAAACCAAAAAGCATAAAATAACAGTACCAGATTTTTTCAAGCTTCAAAATGATGTCTTAATTTGACTGGTTTCTAAGAGCAAGCAAACATTCATCCTGGTTTTATTTTAATCTGCTCCAACTTATCAGTTGTTGATTCTCTCCTTAGATGTATGAACTGTGTAGGATATCACTGACACAAAGGTTTAATGCAGTGCTAAATTGTTCTCCTATTGAATAATATTGAAAAGTACAATTTAAACACAACCTCTGAAACAGGCTGCTTCAGAGTAGAGAAGCTTACACTTCCCAAGGAAATAACACTGCTGCTTGACCTTTATATGGTTTCCATTGTATGATATTTCTATAGTAAGCTTTGGGAAGGGTTTAAACCAAAAAAAAAAAAAAAAAAAAAAAAAAAAAAAGCCTTAGAAATGTCAGAATTTATCTGTAGAAGACCAGAAGACCATCATTTATTCATACCAAGACTCAGGCCACTTTTCCCAAGTGGTGGTCTTTCTACTGAGGATGTTACTTGTAGCAAAAGACCTGAAAGACGGCCCTGAAGCAGTTCAGCACTGCCTTTGGTCACTGGCTAAATGTTTGGTAGAAAAGTGAAGCACTGCTATGTGTCACAGAATGACTGTTCATTCGCTCTTCTTTTCAGATGCAAATATTACATGGAACACCTATCTATGGTGTTTCTTATTTTGCTTATGTTCCAGAATGGCTCTTAAATGAATTAATATGTGACTTAAAATATTGTATTTTTCAATTTTCAGAAATTTCTGGTTCAATAATTGATTAAAGACTTTCTGGAACATCTTAGTACAAAATGCTTTCAAGTGAGAGCCTCCCACAATTGCATATATATGTTTTGTTAAACTTAATGCCTGTGCGATATGAGCTTGAACGTGTAAACGGTTTAAATCTCTTTTTACTTCAAGGAAAACTTCTCTGTTTCTCATCAGCTTGTTACGAATAACATCCTTTGCATGCTTTATTGTAGTACCATCAATCAAAACAGAGCCCATTGATGACTATGATCCAGCCCTAATCTGCAATACAGTACACAGTGGTCTGGGAACAGTAACACAGCCGTACTATTCACAGCACACAATGGTCACCGAATCCCCTTCCTGTCTTGTGGCCACTATGGCTCCCTGCCAGCAGTTGCGCTCGAGCCTTTCTTCTCCTGATTCTCGATACCATCAGCAGAATCCAGCTGCAGTAGTATACCAAAGAAGCAAGAGCCTTAGCCCAAGCCAGCTGGGCTACCAACAGTCCGGTTTGATGGCTGCACCGGTTGCTATTTCAGATGCCCACAGGTCAGTGCTAGTGCATGCTGGTTCCCCAGGCCAAACTTCAGCAGTGCTCCACCACTCTCCAGGCAACCAGCAATCTTCTCCAGTGATTCACTACTCTCCAACCAACCAGCAGCTGAGGTGTGGAAGTCACCAGGAATTTCAGCACATTATGTGCTGTGAAAATTTTACGTCCAGTGTTGCAAGACCAAGCCAGCCCCAAGTCAGTCAAGCACAAAGATTAAGTCCCAGTTCATATCCTACCGTGATCCAGCAGCAGACAGCTTCAGGCCAGCGGGCAGCAAAAAATGGACAACCAGTCAGCGACCAGAAAGAAGTATTACCAGCTGGAGTCACTATTAAGCAGGAGCAGAATTTGGACCAGGCGTACCTGGATGACGGTAAGCACCACTCTTCTCTTGTACGGGTCTGATGGTTGGAGGGAGGGGGGAAGTTCACGGCTTGTAAATCCCACCTGTTCCTTGGCACAGCGATGACGAGGCCTTCTTCTGATGAGTGTGTGTATTTGCTGTTTGCTCATACGTTTTTTGTCTTTTATCCCTGCGTTTTTGGTAGATGGCAATGTGCTGTGGCTGCTGTGCAGAACGCAGCGTTCAGCAGAAACCCTCTGTCTTGCTTCGTGACATGGAGCGAGTTGTGAGGTTTCAAGCTGTTGCCATTTTGTTTCCATTTGCCAAGCATTACTTTGGAAAATGGAGAAATTGAAACAAAATGCACTTTTAAATTATTTTTTATTATTCATATCAGGGCAAAGTCCACTCTGTAAAATGCTTTTGTACATTTTGTACCAAAAAAACCCCATTGAACAGTCTATCAAGGCCTGTAATGAATAGGGTTGTGCTGCAGGCAAAACTATTGCAGATGTTCTAGATGAACAGTAGGACATTGATAAGTAAAACAATGCTGTTTCTTTGTTGTGAGCTTTGCAGATTTAGCCTTTAGGAATGAATATAAGTTAGAGTAAAGCTTTCTTTGAACATATCCTGCTTTTTCTTAGGTAGGCAGATACTGGCAAACTGCTTGGTTGGTTCTTTTATTAAAATAGTAGGACTGTTCCTTGCAAGAGGAAATCAATGCAAAGTTAATACTAGCTGCTGGCTGCTGCAATTATGAAGGCCATTAGCAAAACTTACACTGATTATACTGGAGCAGAGTGAGATTGCTTGATGTATTGCTGCTAATATAGAGTGTTCCTACAAAGTAAAGACTTCATTTTTGCATGTATTCATTGCTCTTATCCTCACAGTCTAGGTAACTGCATGCATGATTTGAGATTTCTCCTTCAGTATCCCACTAGAGTTGTAAAATTGTGCGCATGAAGGAATTTTTTTCCCAGGTTGAGGGACTGAGTGCTCTGTGGTTGTGGCACACACAGTTCTGCTGCTTTTGTGGACAGGGTAGAACGTGTATTATTTACTCCACTGATCTCTGTTTGAAATGTGACTGATATGGTTTTGGTGCTGTGACAGTAAAATCTGTAGAGGTTTTACCAATCTCTTTGTCTGAAAAGAAGTGTCAAGTTGGGCTGTAATAGTGAATATGATTTAGGAAATTTGCTAGACCTGCATGAAAACAGCTAAGAAAATCCACTTCCCGTTCAGAGAATGGGGCAAAGCAAGATGATCTTTCTGATGATAAAAATGAATGCTGTGTTGTAAGGCATTTTTAATATGAGTAGCTGAGGGGCTCTTCCAGGTTTCTATATAGAAATACTTGGCATAAACCTTGTAAGAGAAACAGAAAGAAGGAAAGATGAAATTAAAGCTAGCAAACTTTAGTTGAGCCCAAGTCCACTTAAATGAACTCCCAAAACAGACCGCATTAATTTCAATGGATTTTGAATCAGGCCAGAAACACGTAAATACAGCACAGCTCACAAGGGATGCGCTTGACCTCTGTTCCAAGAGGAGCCATTAGGCAGAATAGCAGCGAGTTAGAAATGAAATTCCAGGCTTCTGTGTGAGAGTTAGAGATTAACATATCAATTCTTCTGCACAAATCAAGCAAGGTGACTTCAGTGAGTTTACATCAGTTAGAAGTGTGACTTGGAAAACTTTAGGATTTACTTTAGGACTTTGCAAAACATTTGATTCTGAAACGTTCAGGACTTGAATTGAAAAGCCACTTTGTTTGCTGCTGGGGAAAAGTGACTCAGAACTTAACAAAAGCCATATTTTTCCTAGCTAGAAAGTTTATTTTTGTGCTTTATAGTATTAAAAGAAACCAAACCCAAAGGATTATGGAGGCTTTGCCCTCAAATCCCTTTTATCCAGAAAACTCTTCTGAGATAAAGTGAGCCGTTAGTCTTGCAATCTTTCACAGGCAGATACTGAGGTGATGGCTCCCCAGCCTGGCCTGGCACGAGCGCACTGCCCTGTCGCTGATGTTCAGATGTTAGGCAATGACTGTTCTGGTGTCTCTCGCTTCCCTTCTGTCCTCTTCCCTTCCCCCATCTTCCTCCTCCCTCCTCTTTGTTCTTCTTTCTCCATATTTCTGCTGACAGTCCAGCTTTCGACTCTTCCTGCATCTCTGACCCCTTCTTCTCACCTCTTGTCCTCTGTCTTCATGGCTAACACACAGCCTTAATGTTCTGGACTTTGCTTCTATTCTGAGCTCTGCCGTGAACTTGTGTGCCTTGGGACAAGCCCTGCTCCATCACTTCTCACTCCTGAAGCTGCCGCCTCTCAGAGGGAGTACAGAGTCCCAGTGTTTGAGCCTTCCTGGATGTGACCAGGGAAGAACATCTCAGAGATAACACAATTACTTTAACACAATTATTTTACATATATATATGTATATACAGACACACACAGCTTTCTGATGAACTAGTGTAAAGAAGAATCCCCAGAGGAAGGGACTGTAGGTGGAAAATGAGCAGCAAAATCTTTGCCTCACAGATTCATTCCTCTTGTAAATAGGTTGGGAGTGAAGATAAGTGGTCAGGAAAACCTTCAGGGGACATCAGGTAATGCTGGCAAGAAGCCATTTGTTCCAAATGCAGGTGAAGACCGTAGAAAGATCAAGTTTAAGCCAAGGCTTCAATTTTGTAAAGCTCGTCACCAAAACCAACCGCTGCAGAACAGGTTGTAAAAAACGGATTATTTGTGACACCATCCAGAACGTATTGGTGCTGACTTGCACACAAGGGCAGATCGAGAGCAGGAGTGGCTGCGGCCTGGGGCACTGGCTGTGCTCCTGCTGCAGAACCAGGGGTTTCCTGCACAGCCCTGGGAAGCTGCTCAGCTGCCTGCCACAGCTCCCATCTGCCACACAGATACTGCGATGGTGTGAGAAGAGCAGGAGGAGGGTGAACGTATCACAGGCAAAGCATTCAGATGCCACGTGGTCTGAAAGTGTCCTGTAGAGGTTCAGTGTAAATGTGGTGTTAGGTCTTTCCATATACAAATAAATAGATAAAACAACAAAAAGCTGTTGTTTTATCAAGCTGCCTGCCCCAGATTTAGTCCTTCTTTTAGCTTTAGCTGTCACACTGTGTGCTTTTTGCTTTACAAAGAAAAGTGGTTGTCATTATTCAGATGGTAACTATCTAACCACATCTGATGCTCAGAGCTGTCTGCTTGATATAGCATCGTTAAGTGATTTTTGGTGCACCAGTAATCTTTAATGGGGAGAAGCGAGGCAGATGCTTGTGTAGTGCAATCAGACTGATGATTGGCAGAGGTGTTTCATAGTGAACTCATGTATTCCAGAGAAAATTTCACATGCAAAAGAAAGTTCTTAGAATGTGTGCAATGGCACGCCTGTAATTCACCGGCACTTTCCCCTGTGATATGAGCAACGCGTTCGTCCCCACCACAGTAACCACTGCCCTTACTTGGGAGTGTGCAAGACCTCTACATTTTCTTTTTGTGTTCTGTCATTCAACTACTAGAAAATCCAGGGTCTGAAATCAAATGCAATTCTTTCCTCCATGGACAGGAGGATATTTCCCTGAGCAGCTTTTCTCTCTCTTCACAAAAGGTGGTTGGAGGTGCTTTAGTTTGATTTATAGTTGTCTTCATTGTGTGTCTGCACTCGAGAAATGCACAGAGAAAAAGAGTGATCCAAGGCAGGGAGGGAAATGTCCCTGTTTCCCTATGCTTTAGACAGGAGTGAATTTGCATGTTACAAATGAGCTGCGGTTTAGTGAGGGCAGCAATTTGCATCATAAAAAGCCATGTTCTGTTTTTAATTAGAACTACTTTTCATAGAAGGTGTGGTCATTTCTGCTCAGACAGGGTTTTACCAAATGTGAAGCGTTTTGCTCAAACACACCAGCAGAGCTGTGTATTCACCAGACTCGTTCCTGATGCTCTGACTGACTTTATTACAGATTTTCTGTTCTCTGCTGGGACCTTACACCACTCGCAGGGGACACTGCATGCTTCGTTTTTGGATTGCTGCTGTTGTGTGTTTGTGTCACGCTAGGATTGAAGTCTTGCTGTCACATGCCAGAGTCCTGCTTTGCTGGGTGTGATATGAAAAAAGAACAAAAAGGTGGAAGGAGAAAGATTGCCATATCAAGAGGCAGGTCTCCTGTGTTGTGTCACTGTTTGAAAATTCAGCCCCTTTTCAAGACCGCTCCTCTCCCAGTAGACTTTCTGAGTGACTGTCCTGCTGCCTAAAAACATGCAAAGGAAAACTAAGTGAGAAAAAGAAAAACCCATACATCTAAAATCAGCAGTGGAGGAAGGAAGAAAATGAATCGAGTGATTAAAACCATAGTTCCACTGGCACCTCTTTGTTCTCAAGCTCAGTAATCTGTAATTGGTGCAGTAAATGCCCACAGGCAAGTTGTGTTACAAAGCGTTTCCTGTTCAAAAGAACATGCAGGCTCCATTAGGAGACCACGGGCACAGCTGCCAAGAACTGACAGTCAGGATGGGTGTGTGGACGCTCTCTCGGTGCCTCGATGGGCAGAGTCCCACCAGGAACTGATGACCAAGGCAGTAAACCCTGGTCCACACGATTTGCTGCTGTTTGAAGACTTTAACCAGTGGGCAGTTATCAGCAGAAAGCCCCTAGTTTTCAGAAGGCATCAAGCAATTCTCAGCGATAGTTTTGAAATGCTGGCAGAGTCATTTGAAAAAAAAGAACTTGTTCATTCATTTAGGAATTGAGAGCTTCTAAACCACAATAAAGTCCTTTCCCAGACTTGCTGTCCATTTGCTCCACGCTCGTGGCATTCCTTAGATGGTCTGAATCACAGACAGCAGACAGCTCTTATAAAGACCATAGACACCCATCTGTTGGAAGACATCTGCCAAAATAGGCTACATCCACTTTCAGTTTAAAGGGATAACAACAGTAACATTTTTCAGTCCAGTGACATTATTCGTTCAGTGCAGAGGAACAGTAACAAGCTGAAATAATTCCATTG